CAGTAGAGGCGATACATGGAGGGGATCTCTCGAGGACGACGGGGAGGAAGTGGGGGTAGGTAACGATTCATCCCTTCTACCGTCACCGGAAGCTCCTCATATCGGATGATCCGGTGGAAGTGAGGGAAGTGATCGCCACTGCGAGGGAGGGAAGCGAGGTAATCGCGATAGAAGGACGAGAGGGTGCGGAGAAGCGCCGCTCGAAAGAACTCGTAGTGGCGGCAGGCTACGCAGTAGACTTCTACCACGTTGCATTGTTCCCATGCAACGCTGAACAGCAGGATATGCCAGCAAAACGTGGGGGCAGCGGGCTGAAGGGATGCGTGGGGGTGGACGGTAGCGAGTAGGCGGGTAGAATGGGGAGGAAGGGATGAAGGGGGAAGGTGACGGGGGTGCAGATTTGTTCGAGGGTGAGAAAATCAAGGGGTCGGCGGGATAGCGTCCGAGGACGAAGGCCTATCGCCCGCATCGGTACGTGGGCGAACTGGGGGACGGGTGGGGCTCGAGGAGGAGGGGGATCGACTCCGTCTCCGTCGCGCGGTGCTTGAGGTGGCGGTTGCAGGGTCGCCATCTTCGGGCTTTGGCGGCTCCGGATCTCTGGTCGGATCGTTACCGATGTGCAGGCTGGTTCCGCTGGCGAACTTCTAGTTGGCGTTTCCCGGTGGCAATTTCTTCGCGCTTTCGCGTTTGCTTCCAGATCTTCCGCCTCCGCGCCGCTTCCTCTGGCAAAGCTTCCCACTCAGACTCGGTTCCTTCTTCTCTCTCCTCTTCTTCTTCTTCTTCACTCAGCTCGCCCTCGCTATATTCGCTATAGCTTCCCTCCTCCGACGTTTCCTCGTCGTTGTCTTCTTCGTCGTTGTCGACCACCACTTCCTCCGCCTTCGGATATAAGGCGTGAGGGATGATGTCGTACGGCTTCAAATACTCCTGCCGGGATGGTAGAGTATCTTCGTCCCTATGCTCCTCTAAGCACGCAGTCCACTGAAGGTACGGATCCAATGATCGCTCGAGAATGTACGGGGCAGGGCTGTCGTCGCTTTGCGAATAGATGTCGGGCGAGAGGTCGTCCGCCAATTGCACGATCGGCGCGATGAGCTCCTGCGCAATCAACTGGCGGCGCCCTGGCTGTACCGATCCAAAGAGAAAGCCAAGAAGATCGCCCTCCACGTTAGTCCTCCAAGCTTGGATGATCAGCAGCTCCGGATTTTCGATCCACGCAGGGTGCTCGCTGGTCTGCGTCCACGTCACCTGTGCTCTGGCCAAGCAGAAAGACAGCTCATCAAAAGTTTCGCGCCACAGCCGCCAATGCCCAGGATTGATAAGAGGGACTGAAAGAGGCTCGAACGAGAAGGAAAGAGGAGGATGAAGATCGGATTGCCAGAAGGTGGGGAAAAGAGAGGGGAGACCAAAGATAGAGAGAGGAGCGAGAGGATCGACGTGGTTCATTGGGGACGTGGAAAGGGGACGAGGGTGGGGATCACAACTGGCTGCTCGCACGAAGAACGGCGAATGTCGCCAAGATCCGGTGCAAAGATCGGGATGAGGTTGTACCCAGGTCGGGCGAGGACGTGCTGCCACACGTCGGACACCTGCTCTGTCCACTCGCGCAGCGAGGTCAAGATCGCGGTATGCCACTGCTGATTGACCGAGCTGATGTCGCCGCTGAATGCCGCAAACGTGGTGACGTGGCTCGTTCTGGGAGCCGCTCGCCGATGAACTGTGATTACCTCCGCAAATACCACTGCCTGAGGACTCCCTTCGATTCGAAACGCGGCGGCGGCGCACACAACCACGTCGCAGTTCTCCTCGCTTTCCAAGGAAGAAGAGGGAGGAAGATCAGAAGGAGGAAGAAGACGGACTCGAAGGTAGGAGAAATGCCGGACGATGAAGACAGAGCTATGGATGGCACTTGCCTCAGGCACGATGCGCATCGTGTTGGTGCCGTTAGGACCGAGCTCGACACCGCGAAAGCAGCCAGAGAACTTGGGAGCGAGTTTGTGGTCGCGTGCACATTTACGTACCTGCACTAGGTCCCCTAATTTATATTGATGTTGGGGCCCAGCATTTCCGTTTCGAGCCTCGTAGCTACGGACCTGCCTACCGTGGGCCAGATCGGTCATCCTTTGTCTTTTTCGGGCTAGCTTCGGAACAGCCCGCTCCATTAATTCGGTGTACCTTTTGGCCTTGGCCTTGAGGGCTGTACACGTCTCTACCCCCTTGTTCGACAATTTCCGAGTTACCCCAGTAGTCGACACAGGGGAGGCTATTAGTACGAAGCTGAAAAGGGGTAAACCCCGTGGACTCGTGAGGGGTGGCCCGGTGGATCCCGACGATCTGATATACGATCTCGGGCCACGAACGCGTGTCGTGTGCCACTAAATTCCTACGAAGGGCGGTTTTAATCATACGGTTGGCGTTCTCAGCCAACCCGTTCGACTGGGACACGTGGGGCGCCGTATGTCGGAGCGTGACGCCCCTTCGTGCCAGCAGTTCCTCGACTTCTCCCTTAAATTCGGACCCATTGTCGGTTAGAATTTCTTCCGTTTCTAGATGGGTATAGAGGAACCGATCGATGTACGTAGCTATTTCTGCGGCTTTGCGGGTCTTGCAGGGGTAAGCTTCGATGTACTTGGAAAAATCGTCAATTAATACTAAAAGGATAGAATATTCACAGCGGTTTGGGCCAGGTGGCACATCGATATCTGTCGTGTCCATACTGACTCGCTGGAAAGGACGCTCTACTTCCGTTGGTACTATCGTGTTTGGTCCCCGAATTGGGGCGCGATCAGCGGCACAGACCACACAGTTGGCGACAATGTATTTGACATCATCTCGTCTGTTGAACCAGAACCATCGGTTCTGGTCTACAGTTGCCTCCGTGACACGTATCGCGAAATGAGTGGCCTGTTCTTCGTGAGCAGATCGGATCCAATCATATCTCTGGAATGGATGGGGAACCATCAACCACGACCCCGATCCGTCAGTTTTACGCTTTTCCAAATGACCGTTGATCCATCGATAGTCCCGAGATCTCTCGGTCGCCCTACGTCTGTCGTGTTTGGTGAGGTGACCCAATGATAATCCCGCTAATTTCGCTAATAAGATTTTATCCGTCCAAACCTCCGCTCGTCGGTATTTTTCGTCGTATTCAGGGCCGTCCGTACGGGCGGCCTCGAATCGAACCTCCGTGGGGAGTTTGTTCGTTCTACACAGGGGGCACCTCCA